GATTGTGTGTTTTGTTTTCTTTTTCCTTTGGGTATAGTTCTGTAGCTTTGTTTCTGATGGAGGCCAAGATTAGAAGAAGAATGGAGGGTTGATTCCTCCCTTCCTCCAAAAAGAGGAGCTAATAAAGTGTCAGTGTGCACCACAAAACTAAGGCCATCCAAATTTGTATCATCTGAAACAAGCGTGACCTCAGGTGGAATTCTACAAATGCAGTATATCCATTTGTGACAGCATGTTGAGACTTGAATTTTGGAGCAGCTGCCACAGAATGGCAAGGAGATTGTATTTACTTTTCATTGAGGTATTTGCTTTACTTACGTAAAATCTTAACTGGAATAGCAGAATTTAAAGAATCAATTTATTTACCACAACATTGGCTAATTATATGATTGAATGGCAGAACAAGATCTTGACATTTAAAGGAACTGGAAGAAAAGATAAGTCGTTACATCATTGGCTTTTATTATAAAAGGGATCTTTGGTTAACATTGGCAGTTTGTACTGTCCACTCTCATGAAGGTCTTGAAGGGGAAATGAGCCATTTTCAAAGAGATTTTATTTTGTCCAAGCGGAAATGTTTTAAAATAAACTATAATAGCATTGTCGAATGAAGTCAATAACTAACATGATTAACATTTCATGCTTAACCAAATTTGCTAACTTTTCTGGTAAATTTGACTTATAATTGTGCACTTGTCCAATATTTTGTATTTACTTTGTTTTTCCTGTCTTGTCACTTCTGCATCCACCTGAGACATTTATCTTATTGCCTTGTTTTTAACGTACCCAAGGGAAAAATAAAGTAGACTACTAGCCTTGCATTAAAAGCATGACTGATGAATCTATTTAAGCTCACAAAACCTCAGAGTGTTTTCAGAGATGCATCTTAAATTAGAGTTTGACAGCCCAACCATAACTCATTCTCCAGGTATTGGTGAAGTCTCAAACTATAATTTAATGATTCACATTTTTTTACAGTTAAAACTACAATATTCAAGTACCATAGGGCAAATTAAAAACTGAGTTTGAATTCAATTTCTGCCTATGTTAGAACAGATTTTTTTCATGCTGGATTAAACCTTAAAACTATCAGGCTGAGAAGGAAATTTGCCTGCTGGTGAAAGCAGTATGGATCACTGAGCAGTACTAAGTTCATCTAAGTGGCGGACTACTTTCCTGAAGGCTAATTCAGTTCAGCTGAATGTGTACTGCCTGAGGACCGCTGCAGACCTTATCTTTAAATCCGATTCTTTGGCCTTGCCTCTTTAAAAAATGTTGTTCATATTTAGTATCAAAAACCTTCACAGAATACTTGAGGGTATTATTTGAGAAAATGAAGTCTGAATAGCAGATGGCATCACATCTACGATGGAATGACTACCTCAGTGGACAAGGGATGGGCTACAGATTTCATCTATCTGAACTTCTGTAAAGCCTTTGACATGGTCCCCCACAACATCCTTCTCTCTAAATTAGAAGGAGATGGATTCAGTGAGTGGACTGCTGGATGGATAAGACAGTGGTTGGACAGTTGGATCCAGAGAGTCAATGGCTTAGAGTCCTGATGGACATCAGTGACAAGTAGTGTCTCTCAGGGGTCCATATGGAGACCAGTGTTATTTAATATCTTCATCAATGATGCAGATAGAGGTATCGAGTGCACCCTCAGGAAATTTGCAGATGACACCAAGCTGAGTGCTGCAGTTGACACACCTGAGTGATGGGATGCCATCCAGAGGGACCTGGACAATCTTGAAGAGTGGGCCCAGGGGCATCTCATGAGGTTTAACTAGAGCAAGTGCAAGATGATGCACCTGGTTTCAAGCCCTGGTTTCAATACAGGATGGGAGATGAACAGATCTAGAGCAGCCCTGCTGAGGTGGAAGAGCAGCTGGACGTGAGAGCCAACAATGTGCACTTACAGCCCAAAAAGGCCATTGTGCCCTGGTCTGCGTCAAAAGCAGTGTGGCCAGCAGGATGAGGGAGGTGATTCTTCCCCTCTGCTCTGGTGAGACCCCACCTGTAGTGCTGCATCCAGCTCTGGGCTCCCCAGCATGGGAAGGACACTGACCTGTTGGAGCGAGTCCAGAAGAGGACCACCAGGTTGATCAGAGGGATGGAGCACCTCTCCCATGAAGAAAGACTGAGAGAATTGGGTTTGTTCAACGTGCAAATAAAAGGCTTTGGGGTTACCTAATTGTGGCCTTCCATTATGTAGACAGAGCCTACAAGAAAGCTGGAGAGGGACTTTTGACAAGGGCATGTAGTGATAGAACAAGAGGGAAGGCTTTCAGTTTAACTGAAAGAGGGTAGGTTTAGGTTGGACATTGAGAAGAAATTCTTTACTGTGAGGGTGGTGAGGCACTGGAACAGGTTGCTCAGAGAAGTGTTTAAGGCCAGGTTGGATGGGGCTTTCAGCTAGTCTACTGGAAGGTGTCTCTGCCCACAGCAGGGATTTGGAACTAAATGATCTTTACGATCCCTTTTAACCCATGCCATTTTATAATTCTGTGCAAAGCCATAGTCCTGTCACTTACTGGCAGCTGCAGTTCTGACGACCCATTGCACCCTATGTCTGTAGTGGTAAAAAAGGTGAATGAGGGCTTGTTTTCTGGCCCTGAAAGGGACTGGCATAGCATGACTTGTGACAATATGGCTAAACATCTGCAAATGGGCTGGCTTTATCTAGGCTGCCTGTTTGGAACAGCTATGGCTTGAGTTATCCCCAGGACCGTAATCTGGGCATTGCCTAGGAGAACGCTAGTTGGCAAGGATCAGAGCTCTTCTGGAGGATGTGTTTGTTAAAAACTCTGGATGATTATGAACAGTGACTGAGCTAGTGGCCTGATCCTGCTGAGTTTACTGCTAGGTGTAGTAATAAAGCTTGTGTAAAGACAGTGTTGGAACCTGTGTTAAAATAATCTCCTAAACGTAAAGTTAGTTAAGTCTACACAGAAGAAGTCATATAGAAATGATTCCTGATCTACAGATGAGATTCAGTTAAGTGTTTCTCTGTATCTCTGTTTCTCTGTTAAACTTATGGTGTGGAACATCATCTCTTGATCAGAATAAAACCTGTATTAGTAACCACACTGTCTTTTGATGGTTCCTATGTACAGGTTGATAGTGTACAGATTATTACTGTAGCATAGTTGGAGAATGCAGAGCATCTTGTATCACTGAGCATTTCCAGCATTTCTGCAGGCAGTCTATGATGGAATTGAGTGTACAGAAAGTGTGCAAATCTACTCCTGTGAAGACAGGTGTTGCTTTGATATTTTATGCTCATTATTCAGAAATTCAGAAAGGAATATTATCCAAAAAGTTTGTTTAGTAGTGAATTTCTGAGAAGAGAAGCTTATCTCTTCAAGACACCAACTGCAAGTCTGCTTTTGCAAGGAATAGGTGGCTGATGGGTACTTTGCAGCTCCTGGCGAGCTCTGAAGCTTCACAGTACCTACTAGAGCTCATTTGATACATCTAAATGACAACAAAATATCTAACTATGATGACATTTTTAATGGATTAGAAAAGTGTCTGAACTCACTAGATTTTTTTTTCTATCTACATTGTGTCTTCCACATTTGTTTGATAAACTTTTTAAACTATTTGTCACTTTCTTTCTGTTGAGTGAGTGTGTGATAAGTATCACTCTTGCTTATACTGGATGATTTCCAGGCAACAGATTTACGCCAAATTATGGTGTTTTAATGATGGAAGTATTGCAGGAAGCATTTGGTTCTTGAAGCCACCTGAGTGTAGGTGAATCATGGAATAATTTGGGTTGGAAGGGACCTTTATAGGTCACATAGTCATTCATATGTGCTAAAGAGTTAGAGGGGGTAGAGCTTATTTTTTTTCCTTTAAATTCAGCAGTGCTTGTTGACTGTCTCAGCTTCTGCAGGTATCAGCCAGAGTATAGAGAGAAGGTTATGTTCACGAGAAGTGCTTTGTAACTCAAGTTCTCCAATGTGAAGTTTGGCAGCCACAGTAGAGGCATTAAGTTTGGCACAAAACCTACTGGGAATAAATTTAGACTTTCTTTAGCAATGACAGATGGTAAACTATTCAGTTTACTTGTTCGCAGTTTACTGTTTAAAGATTCTGAGTGGTGTATTTTGTTAAAAAAGTATGGAAGAGTGACAAAGAATGGAGAATGGGACTGACAAGGAGGGAAGAAGTGGTAAGTAGGGGTACTGTAGCGGGAGTGCAGGCTGGGGGGAAAGAGTGAAGGGCAAAGAAGTTTGACAGAGATGAGAAGAAAAAGATTCTCACAAGGATTCAGAGGCTGATTAGGGTTGCTTCAGTCCAGGGAGGCACTGAAGACAAATCATCTGGAAAATGAGGCTTGATAAAATGACAGTTGCTCTCCTCAGTGTTATTTTCAGGGATGCTCCATAGCACCTCCCCTGTCTTCACTTCAGGTTTTATGATCTGAGAAACTGGGGCAATAGCAAGTAAGCAGAGGTTGTAAGTTTAGGTGACTACATCTCCATCCTTCCTCTTCATTCAATAGCTAGAGTATTATATTGTTCACATTCTGGTGTGAGATGCTTATTTGGAAAGGATTGTTTTTAAAAGATGGTATGTTAACTACCCCTGTTTCTCTAACAAGTAATTGCATATGGTTTATTGCTCATTCTTAAATATAATGATGTTATACATAAATATTATTTCTAGTGGTACTTGTGTAGATTATTTTTTCCCAGAGTTCAGTTATCTTTTTTTATTGAATTATACCTTATTGTGTGACTGTTCCCATTGATTTCACCAGAATTATTTAGTTAAGAAGCATATATACATGGACCAAAGGGATTTGTTTCAGTTTTTCCAGAATAAGTTTTTGTATTTCTTTATTGATAAAAGGACTCAGTTGAAGGATTGATTGCCGTAAGGTTAATATTGAAAACTTGGTATAGATCTCATTCTAACTCTCAGGTGTGTTGCTATTTAGATTTCTTATCCAAAATTGGTTAATAAGGTTTCTCTTTTTTCAATAGGCAATGTTTAGTCTCTGCATGGTTGAAAGTGAAGCTGATGAGGTGAATTTACATGGTGTCACAAGCCTTGGTTTAAAACAAGCCCTGGACTTTGCATATACTGGACAGGTATTGTACAGTTCTTCAAAGTAAGAAACACAGTTGAAAGCAACTGCAATAAAAACTGAATATGACCTTTTCAGAAGTACTAGAAATTATTTTTCTTCTGCACTACCCAGTACAAGATATTTCAATTCAACAGATCTTAATGTTTGTATACTGTGATGGATTTTTTTTCTTTAGAAGGATTGTTTAATAAAAACACCACTTATGTGCATCATTGCCAGGTAGTGAACCATGTAGGATTTGTATTCCCTTTTTGTGGTTGCCTAACTGTTCGTAAAATCTTAATATGAGTTGATTCTGCATGCTAAATTAAATGTAAAGAAAGGTGTTTTCCTAGTAAAAGATATTTATAAACTCTGCTGTGTTTGAGAAATCATATAATTGAGGAGGAAAATAGTCTCTTATTCTCTGGACAGATGCAATTCAAGCATCTTTGTAAATGCTTATAGGTACTATACATTTTCATTGTAACACTCTTTATGACCACAGGTTAGATATCAAATTATATCACTTTAGAAAATGCAGAGTGATGCTCCTTTTCCCTTTGCCCCTTGCCATATCTCTGCACTGCATGGTTTGAGAGCATTGCTGTGTGACTTCATCTCAATTCCGAGTTCATGGGTAGTGAGCTCAGAACACCCTATATATGCTGCTTTGGATTCTAAAATTCCAGATAACCAAACTATTTTTGGAATATTGCTACAACAATTGAGTCCACTGATGTATTAGTGATCTTTATTAGTTAATTTCAAAACTGAAAGCTTAAATCCGTATTGCATTATTCTGGAAGAGCTGTTGGGTTATATAAATTTAAGGCATCTGCTTCCATACTGTAGATTGAGTATATGGCCTTTTGTGGGTCTTTTTGTTGTTTTCTCTTGGTTTCTTTTTTTGGTTGGTTGGTTGGGTTTTTTTTTATTTTGTTTTCTTTACAAAGAAACTAAATAGGAATAAGGAAAAAAAACCTGCCCGTTTTAAAGGATCTATTTTTGTCACCAGCCCACACAACAGTTATGGTTTAGCATTTTAATTTCTGTGTTTCTGCTGTTATGGAAAACAGAACTTATTGAAAGATTTCTTTTATATAAGTGATAGATAGAGATGCCATACTATATTAGTGAATTAGCTGAAGATCTCAGTACATGACTTGTCATTGGTATGCTTTTTGTTGTTTCAGTTGAAAGTTTTGATAAAAATTGAAATGGTAGGCACCTGTATCACCTTTTTAGTAACTTTAACCTATAGGTTGATTATTCTGAACGGAGAACTCTTGTTAGAAGTATCTTTTGAGAGGATGGGTTGTATTTGATTTCTGTCTGACCCATCCTGTCTGTTGTGATTAGATATATTCACCATCTTTCAGCAAAACTCGAAGTCTAATAAACCTGTGTAAAATACATTGAGAACCTTTGAAAGAATGGATGTGACTTTTATGTAACCCAACAAGCAACCTCACATTTTTTCCAGGATAATATTCCCAGCTCTCTAGCAGGTAATATGTGCCTTCTGTCCTTGGTTCTTTTAGAGACTTTTGAGTCTTTCATTTTCAGGCATAATCTACTTTGAATAAATGAATGGGGTTCTTAAGTTAAATATAGATGTGCATGTATGTGTAGTTGCTCATACATATAAGTGCTTATAAGGTGAAGTTTGCTCTGTCCTGTCTATCAGGTACACCAAGCACTACTTTGATGAACAGAGAAATGAGAAATATTCTGCAGGAGTTTTCTTATAAAGGTGCCTTTGGAGCGTAACTCAAGTGATAATGTGGGTCTGAGAATTGGCAGTATTGCTTTTTTGCTTTAGGCCTTGAAATTCTCTTCTGGCACTGGGTTTGTACGTCTTGAGCATTGCTTGTGTACTGACTCAGGCTGACAAAATCTGGGTGAGCATTTCAAGGTAGTGAGTGGGAGTAATCCACAAAGGCTGTTAATAAGCAACTGGATTACTGGATGCTTACATCAGAGAGAGAGTTCTGAAGGCAGTCATCTTTGGTTTGGTTTGCAAACTGTTTCTGATTTAAAAAATAAAATATTGGTTAGTAGCCCAAAACTCACTCATGCCAAATACAATCTTATATTGCTCTGAAAATGTACGTATCAAGACATGATCTGAAATACCTCTTAAAAGTGAAACCCATGAACTCAATTTAGTTTCTTTTTTTTGTTTGGCGAAAATGTTGGTCAAAAATGGGTGTTTCTCTAGGTAAAGCTGTGGCATTCCTTAGGTGTCCATGTCTAAACAGGTAAGTAATTAGTTGCAGCTTTCTTCTCTGTATTTCTTTAATATGCTGAACTTACGTTTGAGATGCTATACTTCAAATTGAATGCAGCTTTCTGTGAAAAATAATATATTGGAGACATCTGGTGGAAATATTTAATATTGCACAATGGCCTGCAGTTTTTGAAAGTTATCAAAATTAAGAAATTTAATTTTTAGGGTGACACTGAAATCTGAAATTAAACTCTGTCATCCTTGCCTCTATTTTGTTAATTCTAAATATGCCTGTGGACTTAAAATAAAAATTTTGTCTTCCTGTCTACTTAGGCAGACAGTGCCTTATCATAATTACTGTTGGAAATATTTTGTTTGTAAGGGAAACCTGATTGTTCAGAAGAAAAAAGTTTTAAAACTCAAATATAAATAATACCATTATTCCAACTGAGTTAATCCATTACTGTGGTCCTTAATCATCACAAAAAAAGAAATTTGGTATTCAAATAGGTAAAACTAATGAAAGGAATGGCAGCAGAATTCGATTTTGTTCTAGGCATATAGGTTCTCAGTAATCCTCTAATAATGAAATCTTTGGTAAAAAAAAGTCTTAAATATGTTTCATCTTGACCATAGGCATTTTACAATATAATTCCATAATCAAAATTGAGAGGTACAACTGCTTTCCTGTTGTAGTTGACTCTTGTCCTGTTGTAGTTGCCATATCCTTTCTTCGTAAAAGGGCCTTAAGGCCATTCTCTCTTCTGCTTCACAGCTGGCAGCAGTAAGACCAGGCCAGAGCCTCAGTGAGTAGATTCCTTGCCCTGCCTTTTCCAAGTGTTAGGTTTGCATTGGAAGGAGATGCATGAAGTACAATCAATATAGGAACTATGTATTTTAGATTATTAATATAGAGAAGCAGTTCTTGGTGCAGAGTTTGGAGCTCACAATTCTTTCTGTCCAACTAAGAGTCTTAACCACTATGTTAGAGAGTCATGGGCATTGTTCTTTTCTTTTTGACTGTTTTTTTTTTTTATTTTAACCCTTCTGTTAGCAAGAGACACAGTCTTATTTGGAGGAATGGGATAGCCCCCAAATAGGCCAGTGCAGTTGGCTGGCAAGTCACAAGAGCACTGGCTTTAATTTACAGTGGATGATCCTAATTCAACAAAAATACAAACACACAGTTGGAGTCCTATGCATACTGAAATGCACCAGAATTGGATCTTTCTTCTTGGTAACTATGTTTTATCATATGTTTTTAATCTATGGTAATGGAAATATTTTGCATTTAGATAGAATTTTATTTAAGGACCTCAAAACACATTATAAAAGCAAGTAATCACTGTCCTTACTTTGCTGCATCATAAACAGGAAATTATTTTGGGAGAAAATTACTTTCCAAAGACAGCACAGCAAACCAGTAGCTTTATTAGGGTGTAATGCCAAGTTCTGCTGTTTTCCTAACTGGCTGGTCTCTTTTCTTTTTGGTTGTTTTGTTTTTCTTTTCCTAAACTATGATATTTTGTTTCTGTATTAATAGAAATTAATTTGTTGTCGTAAAGTTATACAATTATTCTGAATTGTCAAAGCTTACAGCTTCTTTGTGAAACTGTACTTTCATTAGTTATTTCTTTAACAAAAAAAACCCAAAAGACCAAAACATGAAAGAATGAAAGATCTTCTCAGATGGTAAAGAAGTAGTAGAAATAAATATTTTCAAGTACAACAGTTTCTCCTGATAATTGCTTTGACTCCTTTATAGAATCTTGGCTTTCATTTCTCATCAATTCCTCCCCTCATTTGATATTCACAGTTTTTCTAGTGATCAACAAGTATTTCATCTACCATTTTTAGTTAAGATCGGGGAAAAATAGCTATCAATATCTTAGCACCTCTTATTGTGTTAATCCTCTCTATCTCTCTTGTGGATGGAGGTGTGTTGCAAAGGTGTATTGTGATGGTTGATTTTCTTGGGTAAGTGGCCTTCTGTATCCTGTGCTTAGCAGTTCCACTGGCTGCCTTTTGAGTAAAATGAATCAGTTAAACCACCTGCTGTCCCTCGCAAAGGTGACTTCAACTATCCTTCTTTTCTACTGGGGACAGAATGCCAAAGTCATGGATACCTGAATACAACAGGTCTGTGTCTTACTGTAAATACTTAACATCCTTTTTCAATGCAATTTCAAAGCCAAAGATAAAAATTTGATACTTAGATAGAGGCGTTTCCTTTTTCACTTATATCAGGAGGATAATCTCGTTTCTGTGCTTAGCACTAGGTTATAGCTGCTAGGTGTTAGGTTCACAGTTCAGCTTCAGATTGCCCAGAAGGCTTAGAATAATACAAAACTTAATTGACTCACTATGAAGTTTATTGTACAGAAAGTTAAATGTTCCATGTCCATGCTCTGGACAGGAATTAAGCTAGGGACAAGACAGCTTTTCTAGAGCTAAAAGTGATTAAAGTAATGAAACATATTCCCAAAAAACAGTGAATTTGCTTGGAGTCTTGCTTATTCAAATCCTGTTTACTTCTAATAGTGGTATTTACTTCATAGTGGTATGAAACTATGTCAGGGAAAGATCAACCTGAACATTAGGAAAAGGTTCTTCACTGAAAGGGTGGTAGATCACTGGAACAGGCTCCCCAGGGAAGTGGTCATGGTGCCAAGCTTATCAGAGTACAAGGAGTGTCTGGACAACACTCTTAGTCATGTGGTTTAGGAGAAACATGGAGCAGAGACATAGGACTAGATGATCTTCCAACTTGAAATATTCCATGATTTTATGATGTATATGGTGTGCATTTAACACAAATTTTCATTTAGTTTTCTGGAAAAATATTGTAACGTATCAGAGGATGCTGGTTGTGATTCCTTCTGGCATTGGCTAATGAGACATCTGGATTTTGTAACGAGTGCTACCAAACATTACATGCCAGGGCTTTGGGCTGTTGCCTGCAGGGAACTAGAACATTCTTTCCCCACTCACTTTTTTGAAGCAGAATTTGTCAATGTGCAAGGAGCTCAGAATTCAACTGAAGCATGAATGAACAGGGAGACAGGCAAAAGTGCTGTCTGGTTGAGAGTGAAATGCAGTCTAAATTACTTTAAAAGAAAAGTTAAGGGTTTTGATTGCTCTCAAGCACACAGGAAGATCTCCATCAGGCAAAAACAAGTAATACTTTTGTTAGATGCCTGTCTCGTTTTAAATGCTGATCACTGCAAGTGAAGTCAAGAAGGAATTTTCTTTTTCATCAAAGTGGCAGGAATCTTAGATTTTTTTTTTCTTGTTTTCTGTGTTAAATTCCATATCATTTACTTTCTAGAATTTTCTGACATGAAATTACATATTTCCTTACTGTGTGTACTTGTGGTGTGCATGTGCTGGTATTTAACTGCATTTATGTTAATATTCATTTATGTTAATATGGATGGCCCAAATAACATATAAACAGCTATGCTGGTAGTTAATAAAAATCAAGTCATTTTATTAGTGTATAGAAGCTGAGAGGTGTGGAATAATTTTGAATCACCCCAGTTTTGGTAGAAGGAAGGTTTGCAATATTTTCTTCCTTGTTATTGTTTTCTTTTTCTTGTGGATTTCCCCAGCATGCAGTTTGCTTTTGGTGAATGTTTAGCATAGATGAACTAGTATTTTTGCCTATCCCCAAGTGAGTATTGAATAAAAGTTGAGATAGTTCCATTTATGGCAAAGTTTTTTGAAGGGATAAACTAGACTTTCCTCAGTTACCTTGGGAAACTCAAAGGTGAATATGTTTTCTCAGCAGAATAAATCTTGCATGGTATAGGAAAGCTGTAAGAAATGGAAGAGCATGTAAGAAGTAAGTCTGCCACCTTGAAATACACTTTTGTTGCTGAGTTTGTGCAAATCACCTCTAGACAGTAGCCAGTCACCCTCCTTGTCTCTTGTCCTACTTCTCATCTCAAAGTGCTACCAGTATTATTTATAAATGGATTGCTGTAGCTTTAAAATACATTAATACTATCACAGTTAAATACAGTTTGTCTATGCCTACAAGGTACTAATGTGCTTGGGGTTCTGATTCTCTTCATATTGTGTCTTCAACAATGCAAAACTGGTGGCTGGCACTTAGTAACACACCATCAGATGGCAACTTTCTCAGTGTAGCTCATGTCTGAATAACATACACTGCAAGATCTGTACCAGCTTGTTTTGTCAGTCTGACCTTGAGTTCTCACTTGAACATACTTGACAGTGCTGCTTCTTTTTTTTTTTTTTAATATCCATACCTGTTGGAGATATTTTTGTGACTAAAATCTGTTCTATTTTTCCATATTTTTCTCATCATGCATAGCAACCTCAGTAGCACCACCAAAAACCTGGATGGTGCTGGGGCTGATCAACATTTACATTAAGATCCTTACATGTTATTCTGGCTTGATGAAGAATTTTTGTATAGTATGTAAATTACATATAATGTTCAGTTAAAACCTAGTATTAATATATAGATGATGATTTGCACAAGCTTTAAGCATGTCATATACTCCCAGAACTCAGTATAAATGAGTTCTTGCTATAAACAAGGATTTCTCGGTATAAACAAGGATCAGGCCCCTTCTCTTCTTATATATCCATTGTGTTGGAGATATTTTGTGGTTTTGCTTGAAGAAATGCATACACATTTTCCCTCAAAAATAGTTAAATTACAAAAGATGCAGATGAGTCTTTCCTTTTGTTTGCCTTCTTCCTTATTCCGCTTTATTTGAGGTATACAGTTGATGCTGTGAGATAAAACTGAATCATGTGGGCAGAAGGAAAAGGATCTGAAAAAAAGCTTTACTTCCCTGTGGAGCAGTGAGACACTGACCTCATGTGGTGTGAAACCAAAGTTGTCAGAGGAAATACAAGGATAAAACTGAATAAACCAAGCATCTTTGAAAAATTAACTTTTCTTATGGATTTCTGATTTTTGTTGGATATTGCACTACTTAAATAATTTTAGTTTGTATAGTTTATACTGTGATTGCTGATAAGAAGTTGACCAGTGTCTTTATTCCCAAAGACTTTTTTGTTTCCCAAAAGGGATGCTCTAACAAGCTGACCCCAAGACAGCAGTCTAGCAGCTGTGGTCCAATTATCCTTACTGCTGCCTCTACATGATTTTAATTGAAATGAGTAGGAGATTCATGTGAGCAAGTGACTGAATAATCAGTCTTGGTTTCTAAGCCCTTTCTGGCACTTCCCCAGCAGCATGCTCACTGTGCTTTCAGAGCCCTGCTCTGTAAAATGAAGACAGTGGTTAGGAAAATTATAAAGTGGTACCATGCAGAATAGGAAGGGTGTTCCTAGTCTGTATATTTTTAATACACATGAATAATATTAATAGTGGAGACTTCTGAGTCAGTTCTGTTGGCCTGATTCATCAGTATATATGGATGCATCCAAGTATGTAGATAACAAAAGGAGGTTCTGTTATTTTGAAAAGTCTCCCTCTTAAGTAAACAGCATGCATTTAGTTTCAAAATATTTAGAGGGTAATGTGGCTTATGGACTGTCACAGGAAAAAAAAAAAGCTTAAAAATCCTTTGAGCAATTCAGATGAACTTTAGACACTGTCCCCATCCTGCAAAGACTTCTCTATATGCTTAATTGTACTCTTTCTGTTCTTTATGTTGACTCAAATGTCTGAAATAACAAAGGCCTTTACTGTTTTCTACAAGTACTCTGAGTTCCAGATGACAAACCTTCCATTTTCTTCTTTACAGATCCTCTTGGAACCAGGGGTGATACAGGACGTCCTGGCAGCCGGGAGTCATTTGCAGCTGCTGGAGCTTCTCAGTTTATGTTCTCACTATCTCATTGAGGTAAGGCTTCTCAGCCTAAACAGCCATTTCTGTTTGGTACGCTTTTGTTAAAAGTCTAATTTCGTTAGGAGAGTATTAGTACAATGCCTGATGTAACCTAAATGGCAAAAACTGGATTTCAAGAGGTCTGATTTTTGAGTGTAATTGGGTTTCAGTTTGTGGGAGATGCTTTCTCCTTCCGTACATTTTGTCCATTTCATTCCTGAAAGCAAGAATGCTTTCTTCTGCCTCAGTTTACCAAATGCTAGGTATTTCCCTTTTGGGATCATGAGTATTATGAAGAATTCAGGTGCATAAGTGTTCACAACAGATTTTGATATGTATCCCAGGGCGCTACTACCTCTGAAGGGATAGGGCTTGTTATAATGGCACCTTATTCTCAACTGACGTCATGCCCATAATGCTGATGTCTTCATGAAACAAAAAATTTGAGTGCAGTAAACTAATTTTCTGTGACGGCTTATAGCAAGAACACAGCTTTGATGTGTAACTATGAAAAACCTTATAAAAATAAAATAGCAATAGCAATTCTACAGAACTGTTTACTTTTCTTGGTAATTTTTCAGTACTGTTTCTGAAATAGGTTGTGTTAGCTGCTTCTGGGCAACAGGTGGGCATGGAAATGCACATCAGCACAGTCCTCTTAGTATGAACTTGCCTTCCAACAGCGTAACTGCCTTTGAACAGTCTGAGTGTGCTTGGCAGCACACTGAGCTACTGAGTACCAGGGGCAGGCAGCATCTCATGGTAAGAACTTCAGGATGTACTTGAAGGCTCTGTGTCTTATGGAGAAGTGTTAGCCTTACAAAACCCTTCAAAATGTATGTTCAGATAATAAGGCAGTGTTAATTTGTACATTATAAATTGATTAGAAAGTTAGAGGAGCTGGTAGACTGCTGCAATTCATTTTTTTTCAGGAATGTAAGGAGGGATTTAATTTTTCTGAGAAAATAGACACGAATTGTAATGGGAAAGATTGTTGGTTTGAGAAATAAGAACTGTGAGATGCCAAATAAGCCACAAAACCATTTGGCTTACCAGTTGTCAGGCAGGCCTGGGAAGGGGTTACTATAATGAAAAATAAGACACAAATCTAACATTATACCCTGTATTTAATGGCCCCCTAACAAATCAGTCAATGGGAGTATGCCTCTGCTGCTGATGTGGTTCTGTGTTTGTCAGAAATTGAACCGAAGAGAATATTGCAGCAAAGAATCTAGGGAAAATATTAAAAAGTAGGGAAGAAGCTGGGTATTGTGCTGGTGAGATGGGGACATGAGAGAACTGTAGGAGAAGAGCAGGTATATGCTCAGCATAAATCCTTGTGCTGACTACAAAGTCTCTGGTATTTGTAGCTCTTCCCTCAGCACTATCTTAATACTTTTAATCCTGAGGCCACTGCAGGGGAAAGGCGGACAACTGTAGGATTAGCAGTGCTTTGGGTCTCGTCCTTGATGTGCAAGCCATAGTCAGCTACTTAGGAAGAGATTCATAATTAATTAAAAATCTCCCAAAATAAAACAAAACAAATCAATCCCAAAATCACACTACCCCCACAAGAAAACCACTCTGGAGTGAATAAACATTGCTTCCAAATTATTCTATAATTAACAGACCAGGAAAAATTCTCTGGAGATGACAATCATAGAATCCTTTAGGTTGAAAAAGACCTTTAAGATCAAGTCCAACCATAAAATGATAACTTGCAAAAGAAGCAGAGGTGTTTTAATTCCTCTTCCGCTAATGCTTTTTCTGTTGCTCTCATGTCTTTAGATGCAGTTTGTCTCATGCATATTTATTTGCATGTTTTTTCTCCTTCTATAATTTAGAAGAGAACCATGTCCTTCATGAGTCATAGAAACCACAACTCTGTGGTCTGCAGTTGCTGTAAGATGTATAAAAGATGTGAAATAGAACTGTTGTACTCTGAGTAGTATGCCAGGGTAGGATAACTGGAGCTACACTGGTGTAAAAATTAGGAGGAAGTGGAACTCAGTGTCCGGATTTTTAGTAATGGAGGTAGGGAATAAGGTAGGGTTTGAGAGGCAGGGAAAAAGGAGGAGTATGTGTGTTGGAAGACAGAGAGCAGTGCTATTTCTGTAGACTATTTTTTAATCAGGATCTCATTGTAAGGTTTTGAAACTGCATGAACATCTGTGGGATGGCTATAGCTTATATCATTTTGGATTCTAGGCTGTATTTTACTCTTTTTCTGGTATTTTTTAACCTGGTTCACCTCAACAAGGCATATATGTAGACAGATTTCTAGTCTGAATAGATCATAGTTTGAATTTACCTGTCTTTTTTTTTCTGTAGTGTTGCAGTCCATACGAGTAATCAGCCTTGAGTGATTGTGTAAGCCTTTTTAACAGAGGCCAACAGGGTACTGCACATTAAGGCTGCGATATCTTTCAGGGTCCAAACTAATTATATCAAGTACCTGTTTTTTCTACATATTATTGAGTGACTTTAAAAAATGTTTCTTGCTTTATTTTAGTACTATCTGAAAATAAAATCAAAGTAGGAAGTCTTCCTTAAAGCTACTTACCCTTGCTGCAGTTGGTAACTGGGGTGCTTGTCACCCCACGTACTGTGATACAGATGCTGGAAAGAGATTAGTCCTTGCCCTTTCTCTTCTGCACTCAATCTGAGTGCACCAGAGCTCTTTATTTCCAATGCTAGTGAATTTCTTTCTTGCTATTTGGAGTTGTTCAGATATCATGAACTTAGCTTACTTTAGCATAAATTCAGGAAATACAGTATGTGGGATCTAGCTGTCATTTAATGTTGTGTAATGATGACACAGAGTTTTAACTTGTTAGGATTGTCTTTAAATGTTTGGATTAGACCAGGCTTTTCCCATATGAGTGCTGCTTTAATTGTTAACACTCATTCCAGCTCTTCTCTCTTTCTAGATATTCCAGCTTGTCATTTTATTGGAACTGTCTTGCACAGTTTCATCTTTTCTTGATACTTTTATCTGGGGCCTGTAATGGTTCCATGGGTTTCAATAAGGAGGATTTTTTTGCTACGAATGCAATTGGCATCACCCATATCTTTTTCAAGGCATATTGGTAGTCTGTGAGGTTTCAAAGAAGACTGTTCTGATCTGATTCATCTAAGATGATTGTCAAAGTGTCTAATTGACAAAAATTATTTGTAGTGCACTGGGCACACATTAATTTGCAGCCAACGCTGCATATTCACTGGTCTTTAAGGAATTTCCTCTCAGTTGTCTCAAAATAAACAAGATGTTATTTTGACTATAAGAGAGATCCTCTGTCATAGACCAAACAGCTTAGAAGACTTTAATTTGTTGATGAATCTCAAAAAGATTTCTGTTACAAATTGTTTGAATTGCATTTATGGCAATTTTTTTAAGAATTCTCAATCAAAGGAACAACAGAAAAAAGGAAAGGAACGTTCTTTCTCCCCACTCTCAATTAGGTAATATCAATCTCTAAGACATTTATGATAGCGTGATGCAGTGGAGATTTCTGACAACACTTATAGTTTATTAAAACACTTATAGTTTATTAAAAAGTGCCAACAGCTTCTGGTGCTGTGTATATATGATTTTGAGCAGAAGTGAACAAGACGAGTGGTGATTGACTCTCCAGGGAACACTGCCCTGGCACCCAATCACCTCTGAGCCCCCGATTCCCGGGGGGGCCATCTCAAACCATGACACATCTATAAACTTCTCATTATCAAATGTTCTGTAGCATCTAATGTTGATTCAATATTCTCATTTGAAACTCATGCTTATTTTGGATTGATAATTTACTAATTTTTATTTTAAAATAGCTATTGTTCATATTTTCTGTATTTGCAAACAAGAAAAATGCCCAAATATTCCCTACTTGAGGTCTCAATTCCAGCTTTGTGTTGTGCAGACTTCTCCCCCACCTCAGTCATATCTTGAATTATGATTACTCCACAAACTCTGCTGTTTGGGGGTTTTGTTTTTAGTTTCATTTGTAGAGAGGGGCTCTTTCGAAGCATGCTGATGTGTTTTATTTGAGACACATACATATTCATAAATCTTATGTCATCTGCATAATTCTCAGGTACATTAAACATTGAAACAAGGCTTGTAAGCTCACACATCTGTTTCAAGCTGAACAAATGGTAAGGCAATGTGATTTTTCTTAGCTGTGTTGGTGTTATGTAGGTGTATGAAAGCTAAGCTAAAGACTTGAACTTTGTGTACCTTGAATTGCACTAAGGTCTGTGATCAAGCACACAGCATTTGCTTGCAGAGAGCACATCCAGCTCTCCAAGATTCTTGTTTTCTGAGTTCCTCCTCCAGCTCAGATTGATTGTCAGTTTTGGCTGAGGTCTTTCAAAGGAGGCTAACACAGAATGCTGCAGCCAACAGCCAGACTTGGAAATTTAATGGGAACAGGTTATCTGAATATCTTCTTTACCTTTTGAAAGTTTTAGTCTGTCGAGTTCCAGTGGACTGTATTTGTCCTATAATGTTGGGGGAGGCAAGAGAAAGCTTAGCTGAAGGCGTTGAATGTGTTGTACATCTGAGAGTGGACTTCTTAAATGGAGCTGTAGAGAACATGGTATTAGGTAGTGTGTTGTTGATGACCTATTTTGCACTTTAAAGCTTGTAAATGTTTTTCTGAAGGATATATGACAACTTTATTCTTATACAAGAGAATAAACATATTAAATCATTTATTCAGAACATAGAAATGTTTGTTTCATAAATAAGTCTGAGTTATATAACTGATTGTAGGTCTAAGAAGTTTTGTCTTTTTCCTCAGCTGTTTTGTGTATTCAGTACCAAAGAGAACCACAAACTGCAAGTTATTTCAACAACCAAAGAGTATTAATAAAGAGGGAATGCTATTGAGAATACAAGTTTTTAATGGAATTTCCTTCTACTGATCAACATCAGCTCAGTATTGTCTGGGAAGTAATTGGTTTTTAAACCAGAGTTTGATTACCACTAGTATTCAGGGATCTGGGACATTGGACTGTCTGTA